AAAAAAAAAGACAAGACACTGCAGTCACTGAAGTTGCATAAATAGCAAAAACCGAGGACTGTGACATAGATTTAACAGCACATCAGACTGCGTCACCGCCTTGCTGTTATTCACACTTCTTGAAGTTTAATTAATCACAGTTTCTTTAGAAGAACAGATAAAGTCACTGTAGGATCCCACTGTGGGCTAGGAGGGTATCAGAAGCATCGTTTGACCCCCTGCCCAGAGGCTCTCCCAATTCAAACAGGGACATACTGGCATGGCAGAGTATTTTTCACTTCCTTAGCCACACAGCAAATCTTCCCACAGCCAAGAACATTCTTTAGGTCAAATCCTCTCTTTCATGCCTCAAATCAGCCTTCCCTGTCCGCTGAAAAGATAAGCTATTGTACCACGTTTTGTGTGCACAGATTAAAATTAAGAACACTAATAAAGAGCTTGCACTTTCTGTACTTGGCGGATTATTCGTCCTTACGGGAAATAAGTCTTAATTGTTCAAAGGTCATTTGCAAAGATCCTAAACACCACTGCAAGATATTATCTAATTTGTAGTAACATTCTGGAGTTGATAGGTGCATTGTATGGCACTAAGTAGATCAATATTAACTCCCTGTAAGACACTTCAGTTTACTGTAGTTTACTGTTACAGGCCAGAGTCAGAAGATCCTACAAGACCGTATCAACTCACCCAGCAAAGCTACCAGCAGAAGAATAACGACAATGTAGTTTGCATTTTTCTCCTTGTAAAAATATAACAGCAGGCAGAATAGGATGATCTCCACAAGCTACAAAAGATAGAAATGAGAATATTAAAAGCAGCGGGGTGTATGGCGTTGGCAGGAAATGGGATTCTGAGCCAAACATTAGAATTACACAAAAGGGCAAATTGAAGGAAAATAAGGGTCCCCCACAATTATAGATCAAATTGAACATGAACTTAAATTCCAATTAGATGAGATATTCAACAGTTTCTTGCAGAACATGAAGCATGAGACACTTTCACATGATATTTATGGTAAAGCAGCAGATCAAATAATCCTGACTGAACACTCGCATCAGAGATCTCAGCCTACTGTCCGTAATGGGATTCTTTAGGTGATCCTTGCAGCACGCATCTTATTTAACTGCCAAACTATCTCTATTAAAAACCAACAGATTCTGTAAGATTTTCAGAGACAGGCTGACAGCTCCAGAGAAAGTCAGTCTAGAAAGAGCCCAGGTGCAAGCACGGTATTTGGACACCTCGGCAGCTGAGAGCAACTGCTCCTGCCACAGGCTGAAGCTGACATACCGGGGAGAGAGCAAGCTATTTTAAGACTTTTCAGTTAAAGATATTTAAATCCTAAGAGAAAAAAATCAGAGAAAGAATGGGAGAGTTCCAGATTGAGCATGCACGTGTCCACATGCAACATGGAACTGACACCAGGGAAAGTTCATTAGCAAGTACAAGGAATGTTGGTAGTAACCAGAAGGAAAAATAATGCTTGGAATGAAACGCCCCGTCAGGCATAAAGCAGAAAACTGCCCCACATTTTATGGGCCATCTTACCATATACAACAGAAATGGCCAGCTCACTAAATGCCTAGTGATATTTTCTCCTGTCATCTTCTCATGACTATTAGGTCCAAATGTTATCAGCAGATAAGTTCCAACAATTGCCAAACCACAGCCTACAAAGGACAAAACATAGCGCCCTTCGGCAACCAAAGGACAAAAAAAAAAAAAAAAAAGAGGACAAAGTTAGTGGGTTAGTGTGGATGCATGGAATTAATACCGCACGTGCACAGCGACCATTAATGACTTCATGCACATTCCTCTGCATGACTCATTCCTCTGCCCTTCGTGCCCCACTTCCGAAATACCAGAACCAAAAGAAAAACCTGAGGGAATGTGTGTGCTGTGAGTTGAGGGGGAAAAAAAAGCTTCCACCAGATAGTATTTGCTAAACAAATAGAAGCTACAAGACCTATATATGGGATTTATCCTGCCTAGCACTGCCCACAGCCCATCTTCTAGGAAACGGAAGAATGAATGCCCCAGTTCTGCACACGCTTGCACACGTACGAAGTTCAGCTGGTTCAGCTGTGCCTACGCTATCGCAGAGTCCAGGCCCTGGGCTGCAGCTTCAGCCCAAAGAACTGCGATACTTAAATCCTGCAAACACCGTTTCCATGTATTTCTAAACTCAGTGAGATTCAGATAATTTGACGTAAGTCAGAGAAAAGAAAAACCTTTTAAAAAACAGTGGATGAGATGACAAATTTCTTCGATCAGGCACAGGGTTGGAACGAGATGATCATTAAGGTCCTTTCCAACCATTCTATGATTCTGTGACTAGCTAATTATGATTTGTGAGAGGCCGTGCTATGAGTTGAACGGCTTGTAAACAGAGAGGAAAAACGAAAAAGAACTGTGGAACTTACTCAGAAATTCCTTGGGCTTCCACTTTTCTTTAATAAATATAATTCCTATGATTGCACTAGCTATAAAAAAAAGGAGAGAGAAAACAGCGAGTCACATTTCAGCCCAACGATCAGCAGTCTCACCCTGAAACGCACACTGACTCGCACAGCCGCTGTCTCCTTCCCCCTTACCTATAACAGACACCGCACTGAGTGGTACAATCAGTGACAGAGGAGCAAAGGCGTAAGAGGAAAACACTCCCAGTTCACCCAGCACCAGCAGGAACAGCCCACACCACCACGTCTTGGTTTTGAAGTAGGCTCGGGGGTCTTTGGAACCTGCCAGCCGGATGTGGCTGTATTTCTAGGGAAGAAAATAAAGGCAAAGAATCACTGGTGTGCTTGATGCTTTTGAATGCAGGCTGCTTGAGACAGGAGGAATATTTCCTTCGCGATACTCACCTGGAGGTTGAGTGCAATACTGATAACAAGATGCCCAAAAATAGCTAGTAATGCACCAATCAAGTTCTCCTGTAAAAGCAAAGCAAACACAGGCATTACACATAGCCACTGGACCCTGGAGGAAGTTGGAGCTTTTCTGCACAGAACAGAGCAGATTTGTAAACCAGTTCCACATCCCTGTGGTGGGGGGACCCTGGCTGGACGCCGGGTGCCCACAAAGCGCCTATATCAATCC